TCAGTGATTATCAATCCATCAAACCGATAAGAAATCAGAAGGAAAAAAAATCAAAATTATTATATACATTAAAAATGCGCACATATCAATCTTAGTTGAAATTAGCATAAAACATTAAATGATGCCTTTTTACCCATCGGCACAATATTGTGCCTGTGATCACAGATATTGCAATAGCAAATTGCAATTAGAAAACATATTTAGACTTTTTCCGATAGTATAATAGTAATGTCTAGTGGCCACTTGCCATAGCCATGGCCACTAGTATATAGAATATAAAAAATGACGAATGAGCATTTCCTTTCTTGAAATTGAAATTTTCTTTGTACTGCCCAAACACAAACCATAGAATGCAAGACACATACGATAAGAATCATAACATTATATATCCACTTATAGAAATAATCAAATTACGATAACAATTACTCGATGTTCATCCGACTTTTAATCAAGAACAGTACATGCTTGTTGTCCAAATTTTACATGGATTTGATTATATTCGTAAACATAATTTAGGATAAAAAAACTAACTAATTTATCGACAAGTTGTTGAGGATTTATTTAAGATAAAATTAAAAACTAGTTTATTTGCAGTGATATGTTTAAAATAGACCGAAAATGGATCGAAAATAGAATTGCCAACGAACATATCAATTATTTTGAGTTTGATGAATTTGAAAAATGTGATAAAATTGGTTCTAGTGCATTTGCCACAGTATACAGGGTATACCAAAAAAATATTCACAATAAAAAGCTTTGACAATAACGAATAAACCATTAAAGAAATTATTAATAGGTACATGTGCACATATTTAGAATCCTCAAATTAAAATTACTATTAAAACTAGTGCTATACATAATATTAGCTTTTGATTTTATTTTAATTATACATTCATATATAATTAAAATAGAAAATTTTCATGGGTCGCTTGCAGTATAAATGACACCAATAATAAAATGTATTATTAATCAATTGATTAGGATAGTATCATTTATACTGCAAAAGATCTAATTTCTTCAATTTTAAATAAGTAGGTTTCAAGATATCTTCGTTAAAAGCTCATTTTAGTGACAAATTTGTCGCCATGGCTAGGGTACTAATGATATAGTGACCAGGGCATAAAATAGTTAATCAGACACAGAATATTTCGGAACTTTGTAATAACTATCTTCTTCTTTTAGCTCAAACTTATGCGTAAAGTGGATATTTATCCAAATATTATCCATTTCTTTGGTATTACGAAGATTAAAGATATAACATAACAATTTTAATATGATTTTTTAAATTCCAATTAAATGATGTTTATCAATCATTAGATAAAATCGATACAAAGAGTACCGGATACACATTCGTTCTTGAATACGCGAACGGTGGAACATTGAGAAACTTTTTGGAAGAAAATGCAAATAACCTTGACTGGAATATAAAAAATCGGCTTGCAATAGAACTTGTAGACTCTGTTGCATGGCTACACATGCAGAATATTATTCACTGAGATCTGGTAAGATATTTCTTAAAATATTATTTTGTTTGTATAATTGATCCGATATTAACATAAAATTTCAAATATATTTATTAAAATTTGTATAAAGTATTCAGGCAATATACTTATC